GGTTTTTAAATTTGACGTGTGTGGTTTCCAGGCAAATTGCGCACTTAAGACAAATACGCATGCCCGATCAACATATTTGTGATTTTCAGCGAGTTTAAGGGTGTAATCCAGTAGTACAACATTTATGCGAAAATAGTGCGATTTATATTTCGTCTCAATTCTGTAAAACATGAGATGAAAGACGGGGCTAATTTTTTTCGTGTAAATTATACATTTATAAAGTATGCTACAGAACAAAATTTTAATATTTAAGAACAAACAATTTTTTAGAGCACTGCCAATAAAAAGTGAACTTTTATAGGTAAAATGGCGTCAACACAAATTATTTTAAAAATCTCCCTGTAGCATACTCAGAAAAAACAGCAAACCATAGAGCCATCGACCAACCTTTCACATAAATTACAAAAAATTTTAGACGAAATATTCATTCGAAATTTTTTACGAAAACTTGCAGCGTTTAGTGAAGTCATTCACCATTTATAAATGTACAGTAGGCAACACATCATACAGCAGGCCTGACTTCATTAGCGGCATTGTTGCGTTTATCGGGACTAATTTACAAATAGAAACCGGATTCATTAGAACGTATTATAATTCCATAATATACTGGGTAATAGAATTCACACGAAAAATGTGATTTATTTTTGGGTGAATTAAAAGTTTGCGTCTTTTCTGGCGTTTTTTGTAACACTCCTAAAATTTTAGTGTGATAAAATTTTGAGATTATTACCATGTAGGATCCTTCGGAAAGAGATGTAATTTGCGTAAAAAGCGTTAGTTCTCATTTATTTTATGTTGTTCCCGAATTAGACGAAATTTTGTAACACCCCTAAAATTTCGGTGTGATACAAATTTGAGATTATTCCCATGTAGCATTCTTCGGAAAGAGATATAATTTGCGTAAAAAGCGTTAGTTCTCATTTATTTTATGTTGTTCCCGAATTAGACGAAATATTGTAACACCCCTAAAATTTCGGTGTGATACAAATTTGAGATTATTCCCATGTAGCATCCTTCGGAAAGAGATATAATTTGCGTAAAAAGAGTTAGTTCTCATTTATTTTGTGTTGTTCCCGAATTAGACGAAATTTTGTAACACCCCTAAAATTTTAGTGTGATTCAAATTTGAGATTATTTCCCTGTAGCATCCTTCGGAAAGAGATATAATTTGCGTAAAAAGCGTTAGTTCTCATTTATTTTGTGTTGTTCCCGAATTAGACGAAATTTTGAAACACCCCTAAAATTTTAGTGTGATACAAATTTGAGATTATTCCCATGTAGCATCCTTCGGAAAGAGATGTCATTTGCGTAAAAAGCGTTGGTTATGATTTGTTTTGTGTTGTTCCCGAATTAGACGAAATTTTGAAACACCCCTAAAATTTTAGTGTGACACAAATTTGAGATTATTCCCATGTAGCATCCTTCGGAAAGAGATGTAATTTGCGCAAAAAGCGTTAGTTCTCATTTATTTTGTGTTGTTCCCGAATTAGACGATTTTTTGTAACACATCTAGAATATTAGTAAAAAAATGTACATTTTTTTAAAGATATCTAATTTATAGGTACTTATTCGCTTACATGCGTTATTTTCCAGATAAGGTCAATACAATTCATGGAGTAATTACTGGGTTAAAAAAAATATAGGTAGGTATACGTCTTATTAAAAACTGGGAAAAGTGAATTTATTGAGGATTAGCCGTTGTGACAATGATTTGCGTTTTCTAATCGATGTTTAATTATATATGCATATTCGTCACAATGACTAATGACCTGGGTAAATTAGCGTAATTACTTGTTTACTTTATACAATGGTTGGGCAGGTAAATTCTTGAATCTTTGTTTATTCGTTACCATTTCATTACAAGTAAATATTATGCAACCCATCATACGTCAAATAGAATTAAAATTTAAGTGGAATACACCCTTAAATTATGATTTAAAAAATGGCGACCGCTTGCAAGTAAAATATGCTTATATAAAAGCGCAAACGGTGGCTTTCACGACAAAAGATGTTGGTTCTATACAAAGTTAAAGAGGACAAAATTTCCTACATTTTTTGTTAAATTTTTTTCTAGCACACATATGTTAGGAGTTACAGCTTCGTGAAGTTGTACTATTTTATTTGAAAAGTAGTATATTTTGTTATTTGGCGGTTAATAACTAAAATAAATAATTTAAACAAATACAAATCATATTTAAATAATACAAATTTGAACTGGCTGCATTTACAGTTAAAGCGGAAATGGGTGTTCTGGGAGACAAAAATGGAGATATTTATGAAGATAAGTAAAAGTTGGAGTAGCTGTTGTGAATTGGACATCTATCAAAGTAGTTTATATCGTGAAAAAATAAAGAACCCACAAGAGAACGGGTAGTTCTCAACAACCTTTGATAACAGTAGCTCTTGATCTATCGTTGACGAACCGTAATACACAGTGTATCTACTTAAGTTGGCGCAACATTTTTATTCTAAGTTTTACGAACAAAAACTAAAACGAATTTAGTCCCGTACGCAGAAATCAGATGCCGCGAATGTACGAAGTCGCGGAAAGCCTGTTGTCACTAAAATAGAGGGATGTGCTTACATTCATACGCATTTTTGACATTTTCGCCATAAACCTACATATTTTTCGAGTCTAAAAAATTGAATTCCAATAAATTATGAATATATAAGTATAAAGTACAACTAGCGCAGCTGTGATGAGATGACAATGCCCATACTGAATCGCTACCAGAAATTAACAATGTTCATACTGGAAAGTGTAAAAGCGATAGAATCGAATGAAGTTGACGGTACAACTTTCGATTATTAAAATGCAGCGGATAATCATGGCCATACTTCCCATTGAACTGGTAATGATTCCAGACAAAGTTTTAGAAAGGAACCCTACCACATTAAATTGGGAAAAACAGCAAGAAAACGCAACACAACGATCTGCACGTTATGTTTGACGTTTCTGATACATCACAAGGCTGATTGTAAACAACTGTTATTGTTAGAGATATATAAGATTAAAAATTAATAATTTCTTTCACGAATTAAATGAAGAGCTTGAGTGATTTATAATATATACATAGCTTCCAGTCACATTCAGTTGTCCATTTATGAATTCTGCAAGAGTCGTGGAATAATTATGATTAGCATTCCTCCCCATACGGCGTATGAGTTGCAACCCCTCGACCTTACCTTCTTTGGGTCACCTACACATACCAGGAGCCAATGTAACCTATTTTTGAAGATAAAAATGTTTAACCTACAACAAGGAAACACATTAACTCCTTATGATGTAGCCATGTTATTTATTTCTAAAGATTTTAATTATAAATCACGAAACTCAAATTATATTTAGAAGATTGATTTATTGGGAAAAAAGGTCATTAGTATCGTAAGTTAATTTAAAAATTAAATAATTAACTAATTCACACACATTTTATATCAATATATGTAAATAATTATCCCCCGGTACATGGTGGCAAGGAGTCGACCCCGCCGACAACAGAAAGTTCTAACGAAACTTCTGCCTCTAAACGTTTTGTGACCAACCTAGTTCACAAAAAGAGAAAGAATGATTACGCAATAACGCAACCTCAAGATGAGATGTCGTTTTATTTAAACGCGCCGCTTATGAGTTTAAAACAAAACCCTGTTGATGCCACTTCTTTGTCACTGTTTCCCGACCATTTCGAAGAGTTGAGACGAGAGCTGCAGATGCTCTTGATTTAGTTATAAATACGGAGTTTACATTGGCAAGTATGCGAACGGTCGACGAAAAATTTGTCGCTTTCATTTCATTGATCCTTTCATGCATTTTATATAAATTTATTTCAGAAAACTAAGACACTCTGCAGATAAAAAACGTAAAAGATAATAATAATAAACATACAAAATTACAAAAATCCACACTGGACCCATGAATTGAGACACAGAATGCTCCTTGCTGAGGCAGAGTTAATCCGGTTCCGGTGTTTCCTAATAATGAGAGAGGCTTTTGAGAAGTCTTTCTGATGGTACGGAAATTGCCTGGATGCACAGAAGGTCTTTCGCCATTTTACTTAATGATGGGTAAATGGTTTCGTGAACCTTCCACCATTGAAGAGCGTCCTGATTCGATTCGCGTCTGGCAATATTTAATAAATTCTCTATCATCGGCTGATGATGTCCCCTGTTCATAAAGTTGGTCGAAGTCTAGTTCGTCCATATTTGTAGCTTCTTGTGACGACGAAGAAGAAGGAACAGGCACATGGTGACTCAGTGTTTCTATATAACTTGTGGATATATGAAAATTTATCTAAAGCCCCCTTTTTTAACTCCTGTCCCCATGCCCAAAGCTCGAAAGTGTCCACTTTATGACGTGGGTCTAAAACTAATGCGGCACAATACACCCAGTTTGTCTTCGAATAGTGCTTCATCATCTTATCTCTTGCTGCTTGATAGGCCAGCAACAAGCTTTCGTCTACTTCGTTTCGGTCTTCTTTTTCATCTAGTTTCCTAATGTCACTCTCCACTTTGTCTAAAAGTATGTTAAAATACGCCACGACGTTCGATAGCGTGGCGCACTTTTCACCTTTTAACTTCTTGGTTAGAATTTTAAAATTGTGGGATTTAACACCTTTAATTATCAGCCATTCGTCCGAAGACATTTTTAACTCCTTCAAACAAGGTTCATTACTTACAATAAAATCCAAACTGGACGCGCGGGCGAGGGTGGCCAAATTAGCAGCGGAATTGGAAGAAGCCGTTATCCTATTTGGCCACGGGAAACAGTTATCGTACATTACAAAGAACTATTTCGTGGGTCAACATCTTCAATTTCAATGTTTGTACCTGATGTATGTCGTGCACTGTATGAAATACTTAAGGAATATATCAAAGTCAGTATATACAAACTGCAAACAATAATTTTTAATGTTTTTATTCAAGAAAAATATACATATACATATATACTATGTGTATGTTTATAAATCATGGAAAGCTTGATGTATAATATCTGATGTTGAATAATTATTTGTTCGAATACGTTCCCGACATTTCGCTCACAGAAAATTGCTCCTCTGAAGGAGACTGCAAAGGTGTATTTACGTATGATGCATTTCTGTAGATCCTGCAATTGAAATTGTGTAAGTACAGATTGTATGCGATCCTGTGCTTGTATGGCGGAATATGGTGAAAGCTTCATTAGTTGCGCTGCAATGCTACGCCCGAAAATAACGTACTCATTTTCCATTTCAGGTTCTCTCACAACAGTTTCGGTAATTCGTTTCTACTGACGAAAATTGTTTTACTTTCGTTCCTAAACGACCTTTTTGTGTTGCTGGCTGATGCACATTCTCCTCTTCAATTATGTTATCACCCATTTCTTCTCGATTTATGTCATCTGTTACTTCTTCCCCTGTAATATTTTTCTGTTGCTCTGGTTGAACCTGAAAAAGAAGGAAAGTGTTTGTTTCAAATGTTTATTGAGCGAAATTTCGGGTTGTGATTTCTAAAAGTGACAGCGTGACAGTTCTCATTATTGACTACTGGTTAATAATGTCCACATTATTAACCACTTGGAACAATTGCCGAGAAAACCTACTTTACAAGTGGAAAAAAGGTCAATAATCATATCTAGTAGTGACAAAAAATAGTACATTATACAGGGTGACAATTTGAAAACTTACCACCCCCCATATCTTAGTAAATATGCGAGATATTTAAAAAAATCAAAATCCGTTTCGGTAATTCGGAGGGGGAATCACAATGACATAGTTGGAGACACACCCCCTGCGCCCCAGCCACCCCAACTTTTAAATCTTAAATAGTGACCCCCCATGTGTGATACGTCGTTGGAAAGCTCTGAAAAATGCTTTCCAACCATACCAAATAGCATTACATTTAGGTTAGTAATTATCGTGCAAATCAAAAAATAAACATGGAAAATCGTATTTAACTTGAACTTCCAAAGCCGACTCGACAGCAACTCATTTTTGATCGCCAGTTATAATCTATTCTCAAACTCTTGTCGAACCTTTTCAAATGTTGGTTTTGCAATATTTCGACATTCTTGAATTATTCTCCGTCTTAGTTCGTCTATGTTCGCCGGTTGCGTTTTAAATACGACAGATTTCAAATGTATCATATTAGTTTATTTTTTGATTTGCACGATAATTACTAACCTAAATGTAATGCTATTGGTATGGTTGGAAAGCATTTTTTCAGAGCTTTCCAACGACGTATCACACATGGGGGGTCACTATTTAAGATTTAAAAGTTGGGGTGGCTAGGGCGCAGGGGGTGTGAGGGGGTGCGTCGCCAACTATGTCATTGTGATTCCCCCTCCGAATTACCGACACGTATTTTGATTTTTTTAAATATCTCGTTTATTTACTAAGATATGGGGGGTGGTAAGTTTTCAAATTGTCACCCTGTATATCAAGGTAGAGAAGTACAGTATTATTGCCTGAGCACTAAGATTACATCTCGAGGGTTAATAATCATGTCATCAGACGCTAGTAGTGAAAAAAATTAATTATTGATTGACAAGGACAAAAGACTTTATTTCGAAGCTCCAATGTAATAAATAATCAATGCCTGAAATAAAGAGGAGCACAAGTCCACTACATTCACCCCACGCGCAAGTGGTCGACACAAACAAAGTACGTCTTAACACTACATACAGTTTAACAAACAAATAATCCCTTCATCCGGCCGTGTTCTTACGCATTTAGTACTGATACAAAAACACTCTCTGAAAGCTTCAGAAAACTGACTTAATTAATACTGTTACTAATTTTGACTGCGGTAGCTGTTCAAAACGGGAAACTTTGTTAAACAAAAGAACCTTCTAACAAGGTTTCGTTAAGCACTACAACCTGCTATTTCACACCGACGTAACTTATTCCATTAACGGACATACCACATTAAACTTTATAAAATACCTTAATATTGTATCTGTATAGCACTTAAAAGCAGTCGGCCGGATGTTCCTTAATTTTAAACAACGCAGTTTTTACATCTTACAATTTAAATAAACAAACTTACACAAATAATAAAATTTAAACAAAAAAAATTAAGCAACTAATATAACAAATTCTGATTAAATAAACCAATACGGTGTTTATTTGTAAAAAAATCTCCAGATTTAAACTAAATTAAAACATTTACACATACCCTTCTCTTTTTTTTTTGTTTAGAGGGCATCAACTTCTCAGGTCATTGCCCTTTTTACTGGTTCTTGTTTCTATTTAAACGTTTTCAGGCTAGAATCGTTTTTCCATGTAAGATATAAGCGGGTGCGTACCACCTTCTATATCTTATCTATATTTTACTAAAATACGCAGAGACTTTCAGGTACTTCACAGTGTTCCTCATTCCATCTGGATCCGTCAGGCACTTCTCCGTTCTTGGTTGAAGTTCGCACATTTGTCGCTGTATTACTTGTGCCGGACACTCACCTATTATATGCTGCACAGATGTTAAATTACCACAAAATTCACACACAAGTGGATTTTCTCTTTTTAGAAGGTAAGAATGTGTTAAAGCGGTATGTCCTATTCTTAGTCTATGGAGACAAATACTTTCCTGACGAGGCAATTTTAATGCTGGAGAGACAGCAGACGTGACGCTTTGTTTACATCGCCTAAGGTAGGTATTACAGTCATCCCATTGTCTTTGCCATAGTTCTTGCATACATCGTGCTATCATTCCTTTTTGTTCGACTGCCTTAACCTCTGATACATCAATTTCGTTCGATGCTGATGCCATCTTTGCCGCTTTATCTGCCTCCTCGTTTCCCTTAATTCCAATATGCGCAGGTACCCATAGAAAGTTCACAGACACGTTGCGGTCTTCCAGTATTTTAACAACTTCCATCTTTGACATTATCTCAACCTAAAGAAGGTCCATTTGACGTTTGATCGTTCATTTGACGTTTTTTACACTTTAACACAACAATACATACAGGATTTAATGCATACTTAATTTACAAAATGATGATGTAGATTACAAATTTGGAAGTATATTTAATTTCACATTTTTTCTTGTTCTTTTGCAGTTAACCACTTATATTCTTTAAACTACTTACATTTAATTAATTTCTTTATTAAGAATTCAACCTGTTCGGCCCACTCCTCATTATTCACGATTAAATTATGTTGTAGTTTTTTTGTAACTTTGCGGCTTAAAACCTTTGATAAAGATCTTTTTTCTGGTGTTTTGTCAAAAACTGATTTAACAATTTTTGTGGCAGATGCTACAAATTCAAATAAATTATCGGAAGGGGATGTTAAATTTGATAAAACAAATATTGATGGGTAGGTTCTGTGGAGAATAAGCAACTCTTTCTTTTCACCAAGATCACTATTCGGTGTAGTCAGTATTTTGACAAATTGATTACAGCAGTCTCGAAATAAAATTATTTTTGCGGAAATGATAAATAAAAACAAAAATTGTGGTTTTCAGCAATTTCCTAGGTTATTTTGAGAAAGTAACTGGAAAAAAAGTTGTAGATTTTTTCACTTTTCCATTGAACTTTAGTCTCTGACCCCTTTTCGTCCTCCATAAAAACTTAGTCCCACTCCCTTGCTCATTTATTTATTTTTTGCATTTGTAATAGACCATGCTACATTCCAAGCAAGTGTGAGGCGTCAGTCCGACTATATAATTGTATATAGGTAGTTGTTTAAAGTATAAGTTCGCAAAACCAAGAACAAAAAGGAAATATGTATGTGTGTCTGTATGTGTGTATTATATATATAGTGTTTTTTTTCCCCATTTTAACCATTAGGATCTCGGAAACCGTAAGACATAGAGATTCCATTAAATGAGGAAAGAGTTGTAGTTTTAAGATCATAACGCGCAAGCAGCAAAATGCAAGGCACTACAAAAGTACCATGTGCTTCATAAATAAAACACACGCCGCTGACCGGCCAGCTAGCTCTGTTGACCAAATAGCAAACAGCGGAGAGCAATTGCACCTGCATACGTAACACCAACACAAAAGTTATGTTCCCCAAATGGGAATCAAAAATCAATAAAGTATAATAAACACGTTATGTAAAAAAAAAACTAAACAACCCCAAGTATAAGTGTTGAAATAATTATCCCCAAATTCCAAGGTTTACATAAAATTCCCCCAATGAAATATTACATAAATTTAGTAGCTGAAACTAGTTCACACCAAAAATCCTGAAAGTAGGTATAGAACACCCACTACCGTTGCACAGTGATTGAGTTTAATGGGTTAAATTGACAGTGGATTGAATACCTTGATTGGTAGCTTGTAGCGTATCGAAGTTTAAATCATAGTATAGAGCTCTGTACTTCACAGGTGATTTACTTCACATGAGTAAATGCAGTTAATTAAAGCAAATTATTCCCTTTCAATTTCAAGCGTACTAATTAAGAGTAATATTGGGTGGCTCTAGTATTCGGCCAGTTAACATTTACCACATAAGTATGGGTTAAATGAAATGCAAATACACAAAGGCAATAGTTTAAACAATAATAAGATATCACCACTACGATAGGTAGGTCTCTGGTTCCTAAGATTCCTGGTGTACGTGTAAACGGCTAACGGTTTTCTAAGTACCGCAACAGGTGTCAAAAGGGTTGGTGTCCGCAGTATCTGTTTGGCTGCGCCTTAGAGATAGTAACGTTTCAATGGCAGATTTTACAGTACACGGAACTCCTGCATGTTGTCGTTTAACGTAGATGTGTTTCGCTTAGAGAGTAAGTAGAAGCTACGGAATCGTTGGACTTCAACTCCTTACAAGGACTCTAAAATATAATGTAATTATGGCCACGGTTAACCAAATATAATGCGCTAACCTCTTAAAGCAGAGAGTACACAAAAAAAAAGAACTTCGTTAAAGTAAGGTAGCCTTCTTATACCATAAATACGATGGATTCCCCCTAGAAATAGAAAGAAGGTAAAGTGGATTCGATCACACGGAGTATAACTTACGATTAAGGTGGCTTGAAATTCCTCCAGTACAAAAAAAAATTCCTTACGGAAGTTTGTCCCCAAGCATTAAAACGAAACTGCTTGGTGCAAACATTAATTTGGGTTGACTTTGTTAAAAGATGCTTTCGCAAGGGTGTTCGATCCAAAATCAACCACTGGAAGATATAACAAGCACCCCCAACTCGTGATCACAAATCGACCGTCTTTCTAAAAGCAGGTGGCGAGAAAAAAAAGACGCTAACTTTCTTGTTTCCGGTCACGATGCAACCGACGACGAATAATTCCAACCAACCACGAGAGCCGATGGATATGTCAATACCATAAATGGTAATATCTAATGCTTATCGATAAAGGAAACGAATTTAAAACCAATGACAGCAAGGTATCGAATTACAGTCAACTGACGTCATTGATCGGTAGATCGAGAAACTCAAACGGGCAGGCAACACAAAAATATAAAAGTAACTAGAGAATTGA